AAATTGACCCAAACGAAATGAGCAAATGAACTGGATTATTGCGGAACATACATTGAAGAAAACTAAGAAAAAAAAAACTAAAGTCAACCAGAACTGAGAAGGAGAGAAGGAACAAACAAACTAAATTAAATCAATCAATTAACGACCCCGAATAGGTGAAATCGTTGGTAACTAAACTCGAATTAAAAATATAATATTTCAATGATACGCATAAATTAATTAATAACTAAATCGAATTTATAGAGTTGCACATAGGGCCTATATTTAGGAAAATTGCAAGCATAAAAACTTTATTATAAATATTCAGTTCACCTTTTTGTACACCCTAGCTTGATCTGGTGACGTCACGCATTTAGTTAACTCAAAAGGGTTCTTCTTTTATTTAATTGTTCACAATAGGGAAGATCTGACCAAGGTTGCAAAGACTCATTTCAGCTAAAATAATGTTTTTCGGAATAATGAAACCAAAAGTATGGTATGATGGCATGTTTTACTTGTAACTTACAAGAAGAGGTTACAAAGTATGCGTTGGAAACATAAAATCTGTAAATTTTGCTTTCTATGAGTCACAATCAGCGATTTGCTGATCGCTGAGTGAGTGAGTGAGTGAGTGAGTGAGTTTGTGAAAAATCGCTGACTGTGACTCTCATGAAGTGAAATAAACAGGTTTAATATGTCAAACACATTCTTTGCAACCTCTTCTTGTATCCTACCAATTCAAAATTTGATCATGGCATCTAATTATTTCATAATTTAGAAAAACATTGTTTTAGCTGAAATGAGTCTTTGCAACCTTGGATCTGACCTTAGCGATCGGCGAGGTGCTCCAACGACGATCTACTACCTCAAGCGTTCCCTCGGCGTCTCGAATGTTCTTCGACGAAATCGTTCGTTGTGTTGGCCTTAGTGTGTATCTGTTGGCTCGCGCGTGAACGGCAATACACGGGGTATGCGTCCCCGGAAGATTGGTGGAGTGAGAGTGAGTTGGCTTTGCTCTCTGCCTCACGCCTTGGCGTTACGAGCCGTCGCGAATGGCGTCTTGACTACCACCCGAAAACTGATCGACACAATCGATCGAAGGACGTACGCGCACACGGGCACAAGTTCGAGTCTTCGCTACTTGACTCAGGGAGTTTTCCAAGCCCACAATCACACGTGCTAGACTTCGTAGCCGGAACAACCTTCGGCTAATGCAGTCCAAAAAAACCGAATCCAGGCCTGACAACAACAATCCAATCTGGACGAACCAATCCAGTCCAGACTAGCAGCCCACGTTGGATGGGCTTAATGACGCCTATTCAACGTGATAATCTCACAATTGGTTTCTATATATTTACTAAAAGGCTTACCTGAATATTCAAAATACACTCAATTCACTTTATGTTAAATTCAATTTTTGTATAAACTATCCGAACTCTATAAATACAAATAATTTCACAATTTCACAATTAAAATCTATTAGAAATAAAATAAAAAACGCGAACTTACTTCGAATTTAGTTTTAAGTTATAACTACTATCACTTTCAAAAAAATTTAAGGATCACTTCCAAACTTGATCTTTACTTGATAACTGACTCCACCAGAATAAATCGAGCGACGCGCAAATAGCTTGCACTGAACCAAAACTTCCGCAATACTTCGAATGATTATTGCATTGCTCGAGCCCTTTAACAATATGCATTCGAATTTCGGATGATTTTCTTATGGTTGAATTCGTCGTCAGATGATGAACATCCATATGACTGTCAGCCAAATACAGGATGATTTTCGTTTAAAAATTTGCTATGAAACATACCGCACTCAGAGGACAAACATTTAAGAATAGTGTGACATCCAAGTGCTTTTAATTAGATTTATAATTTGATTATCTACATTTCTATACTGAATAGCCATAATACGCCATTCCATTATGGATACAAAATGTTTTCGTGGTGAAGGAAACCTCCACCACGAATTAGCCAAACATTGGTTTTCATCCTTTACCTATGTTCGAAACAGCTCTGATAGCGATGCATATGCTTCCACCTCTTTTGTCAGCTCAGATCAGCAAATGACATTCGATAGAATTATTTACATCATCGTTTTGAATGATTTGCGTTATGGGGCTGAACCAAAACCATATGCATTTCCATGTAGTATGACAGTCATTCTGCAGAGAGCATTATGCATTTCAACTGAAGGCCCTATCCCTTCTCATAACAATTTTCATCCTGTTTTCTAGAGGAAAATCATCTGATTTCAAAACAACCGTCATCCGTTGCAGGTATCATTCGAAAAAGCGATTTCGGTGATTTGTTTTGAATGGTCTGAGGTTTCATTCGATCAGAGGATGATGTTTGTGTACAGTGTGGTTGAACCTTTTTGCTACGACGCAATTTCCACCTTATAATGTACGTTTTCTATAGAGATTATTTTTTTATTGGTCAGCTCTGGCGGACTAATTTGGAACAATACTTTCCACTGACTCGGCTTTCCACACAAAAGAGCAGGTAGAAAGTAATTTGTGGAAATTTCCGCAACTTACCGAAGGTTTAATTTATTTTTGAATCCAGTTAATTCGCCTTAAATTATACATGTTCGCGCAAGTTTTTATTTATTCCGATAGGTGGCTATAAAAGTACAATAGAAAGCTTACAATTGGTATAACTAAAAAGGGATATTTTTAGACTAGGAAAATATTCTCGTTACAATTTCAAAATGTTATTTTTGAGAGAATCTGAAGGGTAGCTGGTTCTCCGGTGGTGGACTCACGGCGGATAGTGTCCTTCGGGTGTGGCTTTAACCGTAGCCAACAATGAAAAGTATTGATGGAACGCGGTACACGGAACTTTATTTACTGCGATAGAGTTTTAGATGTACACTCGTCACTCTGATACGGGCTATCAGTGAAGAGAGTTTGTGTGTGCCCTTTAAGGTGTGTGAGAAATCCTACCTACGGGCATTCTGCTCTGCTTTGTAGCATGCAAAGTAAATTGAGTATGAGTGCCCTAATTCAACTGGCGCAAATTCATTTAGGGTAAATTTTATAATTATTGGAAGCGCCTTAACATACCACCCACCATTGAAATCTAAATTTCAGTACTGACTTCTATTGTGTGGTTTTGCTTTATGAGTTACTGGTAATATAACAAATTCAAATTCAATATTGTCAACACTCTGCATTCGTTGACTGCAGCTTCTCGATTGACGGTTGACAGATGATCGGTTGAAACTCGATGAACTTTGATCAATGGATGTAGGTACACCGGGTGGAATTCATTCTCTCGATCATCACGTTCACGGATAGTCGGGGTCCAGGGCAGTGTCTGTTTTTATCAGTTACTATCACATGCAAGGAGTATCGCTTCAACCCAGTGTCGATGAATTGCGTTTGTTTTGAACATCTTCGTAGTTACGAAACGAGCGAAATGAACAAATGAGTTTATTATACATCAACGAATACGCGTTTGTTGATATTCACCAGTGCTCGATTATCAAACCCAAAATTGTCAAAATCAGA